ATCTATATATGTTATAAGACTTATCTTATCGGACGCCTTATTGGCGTCCCTCCTTGCCGGTGGATCACATCCTGCCGCTGGAGGAGGCGAAAGGGAAAAAGGGCCCTTCCTGTTTCTCCTTCGCTTAAATATGAGTCTCCTTGCTATGTCACTTCCTGCCTGGATCACCACTTCTCTACTACATTTCCCAGAATCCTCTTTGACTCCTAGTCCTGCCTAACTTGCTGTCTCATTGACCAAACAGTATTTTATTTAACAGTCAATAAGATAAACACACACAGAAGTACTTCCCCCATCATCTGATCTTTTTCACCTGTCCAATTGTCTGCTGTTCCCAGCATCCTAAAACTCTCCCACCTGCCAGGGCGGTGTCCAGCCTCCTCCCACCATGGCCACGCCCTTCGCAGGCTGGGATCCTCCCTCCCCCCAGAGATCGTCCTAGACATCTTATTCTCCTGTTCAAAACGGGTCTCTCCTTTTTGTCGGATCTCTATGGAGTTCCTCTTTGCTGGGCTGCTACCCTGGTTCTCCACGCGTCTGCTCAGGACGCTCTGAGAGTTTTTTATTTCTATTTTTTTTTCCCCCACGAATGAGGTTTTCGGGTTTGGTACCCTAGCGCCATCCATACTGACTGGTGCCTTTGTTTCTCAGACCTGCGGTGGTCTTTGTGGATGTTGTTCCCCTTGGACTCAAGTGTCCTGTGGGCTTCTTGTATCTTGGTGCCTCATTCATGGGAAACAAGCCAACAAAATTATATCTCAAAACGTTACGGGACCTTTCTAACCTCTGCCAGCGGATGGGACCCTGTTTATGGAAGATGCCATCTTGACTGAGAGTGACCACACAGCTTAGCTGTAGGTCGGCCCACTCCATGGGTTACTCCCTTCCCTCAGCCTAGACAGAGGGACAGTCTGGCCAGCTTCTGCTGACAAACCCTGCTGCCAGACATAATTCATTTACTTTTTACGATTTATTTATTTATTTGTCACTAATTCCTTCTTTCATTGGCTCTGTTGCACATGGCTTGTTTGTGTAATGGAGTGCCTTTCCAGGGCCCGGTAGGGCCCACATTTCACACAAAAAATACCCATCTGCCATGGATCTGCTTTCTTGTCCCTGGCAGTTTTAAGTCTGCTGTCTCTTTAAATGTCCTGTCTGTTTGCTACAATGGGCAAATCACAGATTACACTCGGGTTCTCCCATTCTTCTGACTTTTACCCAGTCTTGTTTGATTCATCTGTGTGTCTCTGAACATGTGATTTAAATTTAACTTTATATATGTGACTGTAAACTAACTCTCTATACACAACGTAAATTCAACTGTGCTAAGTCTCAAATATTTCTAAATTGTTATGTATCTTTAAATGATGACAAAAAATTTAAAGTTATAAAGATCTATTTCAAATTAACAAAATATTTACACTAACCAGTCCTTCCTGTAAGCTTAGCAAAGGTTATGATTCTATTACAAAAGGGGATTTTTCTCTACTTCTTTGTCCTTTACAGGCATAAATCTAACCTACTAATTTCCAGTTCCAGTCAGGCTGGAGGGCTCTGAGAAAAAAACCCTCCACAGCCTCTCATCTTGGATCCATTTCTACAGGCAGATACTCCACTAAGGTCATTGTAGACATACTAAGTACACATTAATTAATTACAGTGATAAAGCTTTACCTAACCACCTATGTGCTTAAGGCAAGTAACTAAAGACAGCCCTCAAATGCTCAGAGATCTAGAGACTATGGCATTTAAAAGGTTTTATTAAATAGCTTTTCATAGCAGAGAGACAGGCCAACTGATGGCACCACCCCATTTCCTCCAAAGAAGACTGGACACTGAAGAAACTCCACCTGAAACTTGCTTCGTAAGTGGCAGCTGTAGCCACTGAGAAAACCTGCCTTTCACTTGAACTGCTGCAAAGGACTCTTCAGGCCATGGACAAGAGGACAATGGAATTGATTTTCTCCACGTTGCTAAGGTCTATGGTAGGCAGCCCCTAATCCACAGGACCCTGTGGGCCCTTGCAGGCCGTGTGCTAACAAGGCAGGTGTCCTTAAAGCCTCTGCCCTCAACAACTGTGGAGGACTCTGGGAGTGGCTGTCCATGAGGCCAGCTGGCAACTCTCTCTCATTCTCTAATAGTTAATTCTAGTAAAACCATATCCTTCTCAAAAACTCTGATGCAGTTTGACGGCTGGTGGGTTTCAGTATAACCTGTGTTTTAAAAGATGTCTTAAGGTAATAAAGTTTATGTAAGAACATAAAAGCCTAAGATGTATGATGTTTTAAGGTATAACAAAGTAACTTAAGGTGTACAAATGCAAGTTATCAGATTTCTCTATCTCTTTATGCTACTGCTCATAGTCTTCACACTAATCAATAAAGTTTTAATAAGCTACTAGTCCAACTCTGACAGAGTACAAAACACTAGACTATACCACTATACGATAACGGCAAGGTCAAAACTGAGGTGCTTTGGCCGGGCGGTGGTGGCGCATGCCTTTAGTCCCAGCACTCAGGAGGCAGAGGCA